ACCGTCGATGATCGATCTACTCATCGCTATCTCTCGCTGTCGATCAGCGCGGGCCTCGCTTGTATCCAACGACACGAGCATCGACATAAAACAATCATCGGACGATTTGCAGTTATTGTTCTTCGTTTGCCGCAACCCGAAACCGCTTTAGCGACGATATACTTTAGCGCGAATCTACGAGCTCGAGCCACTCTTTCAAACCAATGAAATTTTATAAACGCTTTCGAGGCAAATAATCGGCAGCCCCTCCCTGCGGCTGCTCGTCATGCGAGGCGAGAGGTTCAAGCCCCCGAGCTCGGAAGTTAAACGAGCTGTCTTTTGAAAAGGGCCTACGGTAATCCGATCTAATTACAAGTCCCCATGAAATCGGCGAAATTGATACTCAGCCAGAGAAATTGCCCGTCTCTCAAGGCTATCCGTCTTTCGTCGCACACGGCACTCGGGCGTCGAGATCTCATCTAGGGCCACCGGTAAATCGTCGCCTTTCGCGAATAACGTCGCGCCGTCGTTGGCGTTCGAGAGCGCGTCGCTGCGCGCGACATGCCCGCCGATGGATCGGCCGCTAGCTGCGAGAACAAGGGCCATCCTTCGCTGCGCCCATCGACTATAACGGAACAGCGACTCGCGCCACGCCACGCCCCGCGACAAGAAGACGCGCTCGTTATCGAGTTTCTTCCTGGCTCTAAACTCGTTGCCCCCTCGTCCGCTCTTCGCGCCACCGCGATTTTTTCGCTTTCAGTTGACGTTCAATCCAATTGCCGCTCTCCTTCTCCTCTTTATTCATTTATTTATTTATTTTTTCGTTTCAGCGGTAAAACAACTTTACCTACAAATGAGAAATTCCGCTGGCGCTTGCGAGAGCCGACGCTGCTTAAAAACAAGAGAGTATCAATTGCAAGTGGCGAAGAGTCCGGAAAGTAAACGTAAAATAAAGGTAGCAAGAAAGAGAGAGAATGGGGAGCAGACGTTGAAGTCGGATTGAATCTGTCAGTGCGAAGCGCGAGCTCTTGACGCAGGTGTGCTCGGCGATGGGTTCCCGATTAGCGATGTTATTTAGGCTATTATTGCGATTGAAGCTCGCGATAGAGCTGTCACGTTGAATAGAACGAAGGAGAGAGATGGTGCGTTCGAGGGAAAAAGCACCATTGGCGTGATTCAACTTTTCGTTCGCTTACTTATCGTGTTTCTTTATTTTTTTTATTTTCTCGTGAAAAATAACGGTACTCCTGAGAAATACATCATACTTATGGATAGACTTTTCGATAAGAGGTAACATTCGTTGACTCGTTAATAGCCAGACCCCGATGAATCTTATCCGCTGGTCACCTTCAATCGCTATTAGCCCGTCGTGCTTCGGAAAACTATCAATTTGCTTACGCCGGCCGTTACTCGAGTGAATCTCGAAGCTTGCAATCTCCGTGGCAATTACTCGACTGGATGCCACTACCGTCGTACCGAAGCCATATGGCGTCATATGAAGCCGTACGAGTGCGAGCCTTTAGATCGAAACTACATCCAATTCAAAGAGCACCATCATCTTGCCTTTGTACATGGATACTTATTGTCCAATAATATAACGAGTTATTACTTTATACTTGATTCCTTACGTCGTGCCAAATTTCCATTTACAGATCACCGGATCGTATCGGACTCCAATGCCGATAGAAGGTGTTGAATTCGAGCAAGTGACCGAAGTTTACATTTTTATCGGGCTCTCGTTGAAATAAAATGCGATTACGCGGCAGGGCGATTACGGCGGTATGAATGTCGCCGGCAAGGGCGAAACGAAAGCGCAATTCGACGGTCAAACGAGGTAGCGCAACGAGAACAAACCTGTAATGATCGTAAAACCGCGCTAACGAGTAAAAGCGCGCGCGACGTCGTATTCGGGCGCCAGATGTTATATAATTTAAATCGCCGGCCGCTCGTTCTCGCGCCTGTCGTACGCGTACGTGCGCCTGCATGCTTATGGCTCGCAATATATTTCCACGGCTCGCAATCAACTGCACGCGGCGGGCGTCGATTTTATTTCGGTGCCTCCTAATATGCCCTCATCCTTTCCGCCAAGCAGATTCCCTCTCAACTTGCGCAATTGTCGCTCGTCGACTATTGCCTGGTGATAAGTCTCGAGCGGAGCGTCAACAAACGATCTCGGTCAATTGAAAAACAATGACGGTGAACGATCGGGAAAGTCAATCATCGCCCCGTGGTTAAGAGGTAAAGGAAAAACTTGGCGAAATCACGAAGAATCTCTAGAGTATTCGTGACGTTGTACCGCATATTGCTCGACAAATACGCGAACTTGGCACGGCAAAAAACTTTCGCGCTCCTGCTGGTTCTCTCGACGAACGGGACAGACGTTTCTTTTTCCTCTTTTCTTTTCTTCTTTTCTTTTCTTTCGCGGCCCGTTGCTCGAAATAAAATGAGCTAAACCATGGCGCAGTTTCAGCGCATTAATGAACTGCTTGAAAACGAAAAGGACGCTTCTTTATTGCAACTCTTGTCGCCAGTGACGCACAATCATTATGCACGTCATTCCGAACAAGTCTAATAACGTATATAAGTTTGAGTGTACAAATGCTTATGTACAAAAGAAAGTCTATTAGCTCCGAGAACCTCATAGCCTTGGCACCGTTTACTTTCGGTTCAATAGCATACTCAGGACAAAAGCAGAGAGATGAGCACGCGAATGCCACTGACGACGACAGCGGCAATCGCAAAGCCAACCACTTGACATCGGAAGCACTTGTTTACCTTCGATATATCACGTCCTTTCTGGCTTTCTTACTGACCAAGGTGCTCGAGTTATTAGTTCGCGCGCAAGGAAAATACGCTCGAGCTGCCGTGACTGGCGAGCGTGAAAACAGCCCCGGGCAATAATTGAGCTGACCGAGTGAAATGCTCATATTTGACGGGGCAAAAAGCAAAAGTCGCGCCGCAGCAGCTGTTGCTGCACGCGCTGACATCAGCGCTGTAAAAATAGAGACAGTTTTCTCGGGGTACGATAAGTACGACTTCTTCTGGCCGTCTCTTTCCTTTTTCTTTTTTTTTTCCGTTCAACGCATCGACCCCGCTATACATATCTCTCGCTCGAAATAACAAAGTCAGCGCGGCGCGTTAGTGAGCGCACGCGATGCCGCCGACGCGAACGGAAGAGCCGATGTAGAATCAGTTGACTGCGGGACAGCGAACTCGGTGCGTAACGAAGGCAAGGGAATTCAACGTGTACGAGCGAGTTTTCGAGGCCTTTGCGTGGAACGGTACGGGTCGCGATCCACACGCCCGCGAACGCACGGCAGTCGGCCAGCAATTGCTATTACATACCCTCATCTTGCCCATTACCCGCGTGTCAACACATTCCTCTCGGCTGGCGGCGCTTATCTGCCACGGGCAAACGAGACGCCAGCGAGCGCAGTTATTCGGCCAGCTCGTTGCCAATTGATTGACGGGCTATGCGCCTGTAATTATTCTTAACGCACAGCGTCCGCAGCTCGTCTTTGCTCGCGCGATCGCTCGGTATCCCTTCCCCCTCATCGTCGTTCGTCGCGCTGCGCTCGATAACAGAGCGAAAATCGATCCTCTCCGGCGAGAGGCGAAGCAAATTGCCGCTGCTATTGAATCCTGCGAGACGCCGTCGCGTGAAATCCATCAGAGCGATATCGATTTCTTTTTTGTTTTTCAGAAGGTCGCGGCCGCGCGCGACCTAAAGCGACAATTTTCACTTTATTCCCGGCGAAGATTGGCGCTTGATTAAATGCGCTACAGCCCCATTAAACGCTCGCACTCCATCAAGAATTTACGCCAATGAAATGTGTCTTTTTGACGGCCACGAGCAAGAACCCCGCGTCGACTATGCAGTAGACTCTTCCGTTAAACTACGCCATTCGTACGGACGACTGGCCTCCTCCTTTCGGCTTATGTAATCATTAATTCAAGTATGAAAATCGTACTGTGGTAGTCCCCGCGATCGCTTTATTAAAAAGTTGCTTGCAACTTTCTTATCCTCTTGTGCTACGATGTCGTAATTCTCCACGGGCATCGTAAACTACGTGCAGCGTGTCTCGTAATAATATTCTAGTAAAGCACGACGTGCTCTTCTGCGGCGCTCGGTCTCTTTCGAAAAACTGTCACGATCAAGCTAGACAAAATCCTTCGGATACGCGTTATCTATTCAAGACTAGAGCTCCCCTCTTGTCTCCTTGCTACGCGTTCCGATCCCTCTCCAGACAAAGAAATTAATATGGCGATCGTATGGTCGTTAACGTAAGCAGTGCATTGAGAGGAGAGAGAAGTTAGAGAGATACTCGATATATCATCCACCGCATATACGCAAGTCGCATGGCAAAGGAAGCTTGCGCGGCCCCGTCGTCGCCCCGTGCCGACTGGACAAGACGCCGTTTATGAGAAGCTTTGGCTCTTGGCTATATACGACGCGTGCTTTCCCTCGACCCCCCCCCCCCCCGTAATATTTATCTTCGGGTGTACATCTATTATAAATGCCGGCCCGAGCAACGGTGCTGAACGTAAGTTACGTAACACATTGATTTTTAATATTTCTGGCGAGAATTGATCGCAATGGTAATTGATAGTCCGACAATTTTTACGCGCTCGAGCAAAACTTAATTGCTAGTTTTTCCAGTGCGGCGAGCGGACTTTGTCGAGGGGTCTTCATCTTTATCTGGAAGATTTGCCGAGAAGCTTAATCCCGAGGCGCGGCTGTCCAGTTATGTCATACGGAAGGTTCGAGAGGGAGGGGGAAGCTGGCTAGCAAATCCGAGCAGAAATCGAGACAGCGACAATTGTCGGCCGAAACGGACAACTACGCGTATCGGAAACAATACTGACCAGGCTATTTTAATTTGAATCATTGCTCATACGGCATGGCGCACAGACCGAAATGACACGCGAGCGTCAGTCAAGGTAGACAGCTAGATTTTCCGATATCGATTTCTGCTCGACTCGACGAACGCGGAAGGAGTGAAGTACGGAAACGAGACAACCTGCAGTCCTGTTGTTGTAAAAGTCGAAAGCGGCGAGGGGTCCATGGGTACTGGAGCACTGCGAGTCCCTGTGGTCGACCTTGATGCTCCATCCCGGGAGCGACCCCTTGGCGGAGCTCACGGTCTTGACGGCCATGAGCACGGCGGGCAGCACTCGCGGCAGACTCTGCTCGTGGTGCGGATCAGCCGGCGCGATCACCGCCAACTTCACCACTCCGCGCTTTTGGCCAATGCCCAGCGAGCCGCGCGAACTCAAGTAAGCGCCGCTCAAGCTCCAGCTGGTCTGCGGCGCAATCAGCAGCAAAACTACCAGTAACGGACAAAGCCGCGGCATCGGCCCTGCTGCTGCTGCTGCTGCTGATAGGGCCTTTGGCGCCGAAGGCACACGAGGAAGAGAGTCTTGTTAGTGCTGCGTCTTTGTGGTTTTTTACGGGCTCGACACGACTGTGCGCCGCATGTGTACGTCTGTCTCCCGCTCTCCTCGTGAATTTCGCTCTTTTGATTGGAGCTATCGGTGTTCCCTCGCTTTTCCATGCCGGAAGTAACTTCACCAAAGCGACCCGATCGCCCAACTAAACTTGGCCCGCCAATTGAATTACGAGCCATTTGCGTTACGTCAACGATGCGACCTTTCAAACTGGTTCGACTTTTATTTTACTTTAACGGCGCATCGAGGATCGATCAACAGCCCCCCCCCCCTACCCTCTTAGCGAACTTTCGGCGGCCAAACCAACTTTTATCGGAGACGTTTTATTTCTCGTCAAACAAATCTAACGTGCGCTGCCAAAAACACACTAATTATTTGAGTCTACTCGGGCGTGCTCTTACAAAATCTCAGCTCAAATTCGAAAGCAAGCAACGCACCAAAGCCAACGGGACTTTGACTGATTCCTTAAGGACTAGTTAAAGTTTCTAAAAATATATATATAGCGAGATCGGAGACAACGAGCGAGCGAGAGAAAATCCGAAGCAGCGAGAGAACGTAGGCAGACCAATCAGACGTACACATGGGCTGGCAGGCGGCAGGCATTGCATAATGTACAATCGCACACCTGGTCTCTCATAGTCGGCTCGTCGTCGGAGTTTTACGAGGAGCGACCTCGAGCGTATATCCGCTTCCTACGTCGTCGCGGTGCTGAGCGCCGGAGCCAGCGCGCGCTCCGGCTGCTGCTGGGCCGCCACATCCTCGATCATCGAACTGCTGCTGCTGCTGCTACTGCTGCTACTGCTGCCGTCGCCGCTTCCATTCACCCCGGCACTCTCGCTTACTTGCTTGCTCGTTTGTCCCTGAGATCGAATCCGTTCCCTGGCCGGCACTCCCGGCACTGCTTTCGCCCGATTCCCGATGCACGGCTTCGATTACTAAAGAGAATATCAACGGCTTTACCGTCGCTCGTGTTTCCGCTCCGCCGACGCTTTTCCCCTCGCGCGCCGCCCTAGCCCCGCGTTTTTTTCTTTTTTTTATTCTCTCTCGCGGCCAAGCTTTGCCGCAACGGTCCCATGTGCAAGAGAATTTTTCCAGCGTAAAAATCACCGATTCAATACCCGCTTTGCAGAATTACGTTCGACTAGACGCTCTTCTATTTGCGCGCGCCACCATGAGCTTAAACAGCTCTGCACCGTTTGCTTTATTGATTTTGGAACGATGGCAAGTTCGTGGAATTAAGATTTATGGAATAAAATCTCTGACAGGCGTGAGTATATTTCTCAATGAAATCAGGTCACCGAGACGCGTAGAACGCAATTCGGGCTAGTTGACGAGCAACTATTTCATAGAGACTTTAAAAGAACGCGGCGAGCGCAAATGAAAGAGGAAAAATAACCACTCCCAATGACAAATATTAATAAGCAAATGCAATGCGCGCCTGGCGTAGCGCTGTGTGTAAGACCGCGCGCGCGACAAAGCACTGCGACGACCGGAAAGAAATAAAAAATCGAGTTGGAGACTGCACGAACGGCGGGACAATGGATTATCGAAGAAACGGGAGAGGATCGCGCGGACTGCGCGGCGGGTTTAATTGCGGGAGCGGGCGTTGGCGAGCACGCAGTGCGCAAAGTGCCAGTCAGCACGCACACTACCACAGGGCAAGTTCGACCGTTCTCATCGACTCGACCGCGAGAAATTCACGAGCGATCTTGGGATCGACGCGAGCAGATGGACATCGAGCTTCGACATCGTCGTCGGAGATTGCAGCGTCGCTAGCGCGGGTAAGCGATGATGTGCCAATGACGCGGTAGCTCCTCGCCGGGACTTTGATCGCGCATTCTGTATTCGTCTTCGAGCAATTTTCCAGCCACATTCGGCCCTGATGTTTATTTCCTTCACCTCCCCTGACGACAATGGCTTATTAATGTGCCGGCATCGCTCGTGTGCCTCGCGGCGGTGAGAAAAGAGAGAACGCCCGGCGTCGCTAGAGCTGCCTGCAGAGTCGCACGGAGCCCGACGTCTTGCCGAAATGAATTCCATTGAAAACGACGGCTGAAATATGAGACGCGTCGTATCCGTTAGCTGGCGCACTCGCGGATAGTTCGATCGGAATCGAAACGAGACGTGCGTCGCCTACCGACGATATCGAATCCCTGCGTCGCGGCCCGACATTCTCGGGCGGGCCAGAAGCAACGGAACAAGCGGATGCGCGCCAATTCTCGAAAAGTCGGCGATCGAGGTACGGGCGGGCGAGCGAGCGAGCGAGCGCCGCTACGGTGACGCCTGACGAGAACGCGTCTCGAGCTTGGACGCGCCCGCGCGAACGCCGTTCCAGGTGACAAATTTCGACAACGCAATCGAAAGCGCGACGGTGGGCAGGGACGGGAAGGGTGCTAGACAGATGTTTTTTTTCTCTTTCCCTGCGGATAAGGACACGCGAAGGTTCGTTCGACAAGAGTCGGAGGAAGAAGAAAAGCCGAGCAGATACGTGACTGACCGAAGGCCTTTTATTTTTCTCATTCGCTGCGATGCGCTGCGATAAAGGCTGTAATAAAGACTGGATATGCGAAAAAAAAATGGGAGCAAAGTTCGCTAGAATAATAAAACCGTAGGATTTGTTCGCAAGCTCTCTCTCTCTCTCTCTCTCTCTCTCTCTCTCTCTCTCTCTCTCTCTCTCTCTCTCTCTCTCTCTCTCCTGTCTCTCGTGGCGCGTTACGTCGAGAGGACACCTTTGGCGCGCCCGCAATCGACGCCCGGCCGCGTCGTTTCACCGCTGCGCTTGTCTCTTCTATACTGCCCGAGAGCGCCTGCTATCGATCAAACTCGCACGCGCCCGGCCAGTTTTTTTTTCTCCCTCGTTTCGCTGTTTTGCGAATAAATGGGAGGGACGCGACAGGTTATCCAGCGCGCGACGCGCGCAACCGCACCAAACGATCGAACAATACGCCGCGTTTCGGCTGCTTGGCCAGCGCATAAATATTCCCAATAAATGCCTCGACGTTGTTTTGACGCGCCGAACGGGCAGCCGGGAGAAAACACACGGAATACGCGCGCTCGTTCGGACGCGGCACCGTGGCGAAAGGCGCCAAGCGTCATTGAAGTTGTCGGCGCGACCGGCCACTGAAACGCCGCCGACTGGAGTCTCAAATGCTGTTTATTAGATAAGCCCACTGGCGATAATTGAAGTGGCGTCGAACGTGCATGGGCAGCCGAGCTGGGCTCCACTGCTGGCTCGAGCAATTAAGCCCGAGCGACAAAGTGCACTCGCGCTGCGTCCAATTGTCGAGGAGCGTATGATTGCTCTTCCTCGTTCCTCGCTTTCTCGCGGCTCGCGTCGGAATGCCGATGCAGCGCGGCTAATAGTGCACTATCACGCGGCAACCTTTCAGCGAGCAACGAGGCCACGAAAATTCGACGGAGCGAGGGAGGGGGGGGGGCTAATCGAGCGAGGCGTAAATAAAAGTCAGATGATTCGCGCGCTCCTATCCGAGCATCATCAGCGGTGCCCGAGGAATGCTACCTGCGAGAAAGCAATTAACGCCTACAACACTGACGAATCCCGATGCAGCAGTCAAAAAATGCTCCGCGCGCAACGGCCGTTCGTCCACGAATAACAGCCGCAGCCACGATTCAAGTTCCCCTATTTTTACGCCCCGTGAAAACGGCTTTTTCGCTCTTTCAATGCGTTTTCTTTGCCTGGCAGTGCGGTTAATTGCTTCTTTTGCCTGGCGCGCCAATGACCGTCAGCACGCAAAAGCGCGCCGGATCGTCGAATTTATTTGTTTGACGCCGGGACGATGAATGATAAACGGGCTCTCGCCGAGAAAACTTATCCGGGTGTTGTCCTGTGCCCTCTTAGTGTACGCGCGCGCGTGTGCGGCTGGAAGAAAGTCGCATGAAATATAACGAGCTTAATCTTTCGGACTGAAATTGGCTGGCGCGTGTCAGTATCAACCTGCGAATCCTGCCAGCTTAGCAAACACCGAAATGTACTGTTATGAATTTACGAGCGCAAAGCAGAACGAGAAAATCCAAGAAGCTATGCAATCCGCGGAGTGCAGAAGCCAGACAGCTCTCGGAAATTCGATCGTCGCACCTCTGACGAAATTATCCAGGGGACGGAATTCGCTTTGCAGTTGAGCTCGCAAGTTCAAGCTAATTAGCGCGTAGTCAATAGGCGAAGATCGAGTTCTCGTTGCAGCTCGACGTGCCTCCTCGCTGGACCGTCGCGAGCTCGCTGTCCGAGCATCGATCGCCGTGGATGTCGCGCGCGTCCGACGGACAATTACACGCAACGCGAAAGCACGGCCAAAGAACAAGGACGCGACAGCGCGGGATCCGCGATGAAAGCGAATAACTCGTAGCCGCTACCGTGTCGCGACACCTCTCCGCGCCTCCCACCCGTCCCAAACACGTGCCGGCTGCGAGCGGCTGGTCTCTGTCGCTCTTCCGCAGCTGCGAGCAATTAGAGACGCGTTGCTGCATTGTTACGGCGCTGGCTCGCGCGATGTTCGCCACGCTACGCGCACTTTCAGCGTGCGCCCGCCGCCGCGAAATCCCACTCATCGCGGAGCCGCTCGAGAACTTGGGTGATACTCGTTGACGACGAGTGCCGGGCTGAAATTTAACGTGGCGGAACCCCCGGCAATTCCATGTAATCTGTGTGCACCGACGAGTAATCCGACTATAACTTTGGCGCGAATTGCTGAACATTCGAAATTTTGCAATCGCGCGTCTCATGAATGCAGAGATGAGTGTCGCATTTGAATAATCAGATTGCGGTCACTCGCTACGTGCAGCGCTATTTTAGAACGCTGTGTATACACGCCTGGCCAGGAATAAGCCGGACCGAGCGGAGAAAAGAAGCTCCGCGAGCGGCCTTTCGTCGAGAGCGAGAGAGAGAAGCGAACCAAGATAATTAATGTTGAATGGACATAGCGTGATAGCTTTTGTTTGCTCGAGAATCCCGTAGAGAAACAGGTCTCATTCCGGCAAGAGCCTACATCTACGATATGAGAAATTAAATCTACGAAACCGCGTTACCTGCCCTTCGAACTTCCAACTGGCTGTCAGCGCTGTAAACAGATGGAACAGACTGCTCGTGGCTCATTGCGCGTGCCTTGAACCCGACCGACGCAGATGATTACAAGACAGTGGGCGTGCTACGAAAAATCGAGAGAGCTTTCAGAGTATCGCGCGACGAACGTTGTGGAAATTGGAACTCCAAGATTTAACGCAATGCGAACGCTGGTCTTGCGCCTTGGTCGGTATTTTTTTTTTTTTTTTTTCTTGGCAGGTCCACTGAAACGAAACATTATCCGTTAGCTGCAAGCCACGCGTGCAAGTACATCGCGCACCGAACAAAGACCATGACAAGGCGAAAAGACAGGCGAAACGGCGTTGAACAGGCCAGCCCGACAGTCGAAAAACGAGCTGGCGTAACAAAGAGAGGCGCTGTCGGAAGCAGTTTTTTTTTTTATTTTATCCTCCGTCTCCTCACGCCCGCATTTGTCCAGGCCATTTACGCAGAGCGAAGTTTACCGAGCGTTCGCTGCTCAATCAAACGAATTGACAGTTGAGTAATTTACATACGGCGATGAGATTGCGAACGTGACTTTTCTATTTTGGAATTCACGCGCACTCTACGTGACCGCTACCGTAAAAGAAAAAAACATACAAAAAAACAAAGAGACATCCTCTACTCGCGCGCGCCGCAAACGCGAACTCCGCGACAAATTGAGTGAGCGAGACGTATATAAAGGAAACGAGCTTGTCTCTGTTTGCGACACCTATCGAACGTGTGAAAGGCATCCAACTTGCGACTGTGCGTACGGAATGCATCGGGCTTTCCTTTCTCGCGCCGCGGCACGAGCCCCCGAGGCAAGAACGGCAATCGCGCCAATGCGAGAGCGCCGCGCCAGTGAAAAATAAAGATTCGAGAGGACGACCGCGTAGCGCGCTCGCGAACCGTCAGATGGGAAATCGTAGCGCTTTCGTTGCTCCCCCGCGAGAGCACGCACGCACGCACGTACCAACCAGGAAATAACTTCCGCGGACGTTCGACGTGCCGTTTTTTCCTGCCCCGTCTTCTCGCTCGCTGTCTTCTTCGAGCTCCCGACTGCCGGCCGCAGGGAGAAGAATTTATTTTCCAACGTATAAATAAGGGTAAGCGTTTTTTTATTGTTTCAAGCTGAATCGTATAATGAACCTATTTAGCTGTTTTATTTTCCCAGCGTACATCGAGATAGAAGCTAACTCCTTGACAGTTATTCTTAATTACTCTATCTTCATAAAATTTATTGCTTATGTCTCATTCTCCGACTATTTTTAAATGAACATTCAAAATTGCTCATTTAGTGCACTTTAATATTCGCAACTGAAACACATGGTATTGTACTTTACACTCTATGACACAATGAACAAGCCCTAATTGCCTTGTTCAATCAGTCGCGATCGATTAAATTATGCGACGCCTTTCATTGGAAATTCGTAACTGCAAGTATCCACACAATAGATAAGGTTATACTCGAACTCGTGCTCGGTGCCGTTCGCCATGGAAAAAGGAAAAGAAGCGAGAGAGAAAGGGGGGGGGGGGGGGAGAAAAAGAATACAGTAGCAACAGAGATTCTTATTCTTATCGCGGGAGCAGCTCGCGCGAAAACGGTATCACTCCCCCCCAAACTAACGCGCCGCAAAACACATCGCACGCACGAACTCGAGTCCTCGAGCATGACTCTACCTTCTTCTCTGCCTTTCTTTTATCGGCGTCGCCCCTGAGGCACGAAGCTCTGTTTTTTATCTATCTGTAGCGACGCGGTAGCGAGAGAAAGAAAGAGAGAGAGAGAGAGAGAGAGAGAAAATTTATTAAAAAGAACACAGTAGGCGAGGGATGAAGTTTCAGGCGCTTCCGATCAATCACTATCTGCCGCTGTCGAGAGCAACCACCTGTCGAAAGCTCATCTATCCGCGCCGGCGAGCTGCACGTCGTCCATCTTGAGGTATCTACGGCCGTGCTCGCGGCCACGTGAGCGCAAACCCGCGGAGGCACGCCGAGCGGATAGAATAAAAGCACGTCACATGCACTGGCGAGCGGCTGTGGTCGCGTCGCACGGTCACGCGGCGGCGAGAGCGAGGCGGCCGAGAGTGGAGGAGAGCCGGTGCTCGAGCTGAGAACGCGATTGAAACTGACAGAGTTGCGCGCCGCCGCCAAAGTCTCAGAGCCAGCAGCAGCGCCCCTCGAAGTCGGACGCACACGCGATCACCTCTCCCTCCTCTCGTGCCCCCTCCCTGACGCCCGCCCTCCTCGCGCTCGTGCTCCACGTCGGTTCCCCAATTCCGAACGCGCTATCTCGGTTTATTTATCGCTTTCCCTTTCGCGCGCACCTATCTCGGCGCGCCGCCTTGCCGATTGAAGGCCCCCGCAGTTCGTTCGCGGCTCGCCGAGCACCACGGCAACTCGGCGCAATCGTAAGGAGAAAGCGGCTACGGGAGCGGGCTAATGAGCTCCAAATTTCGGTATACGTAAATGTGCTGTGCTCGGAGCCGTCGTATCGCGCGACAACGACGCGGACAAAGCCAAGCTCGGCGAGATCTTCGCGAAGTAAAGGCAAAAACATGGAAGCGTACGAAAGATCGTCGCGATTTACGTGGATGACAACAACGCGTGATCGCCGGGTCATTGCTCCTAGCTTCGTTACGCCAGCTTGCGGCGTTCGTCTCGCTGCTCTCGTCTATATGGCGTAAAGATAGACGATCCTCAAAGCAGGATTTGTATATAGGTGCGTGTACGCGAGTCGAGGGAGGGAAGGGGAGAACACTGGCAAACTCGCTTCGCGACGCGGAAGTGGGGTACCTTTTGTACAATTACAGCAGCTTGCTCGCGATGTCAACCGGAAGCTAAGAGACAGGTGAAAGCAAGAGATTTTCTCGGTATGATCTTGATTATTGACGGGGCAAGCTCGTTCCAAGCAGAGTCTTGCCTGTTGCGTCAATCTCAACTACAGTGAATTAATATTTATACTGAGGCTACTAATTAGCTGTCGAGATATCGAGAAAACGAAATTCGCTTTCATTTTCATGCAATTTTCAACAAAACCGAAAACTGCTGCTTCGTCGAATGATACTCCAGCTATATGTCGCTCGGCGACCAATTTATTAGACATCCAGAAAATAGCTGAATGCTCATTAGGTTTCGACTGTAAAAGCTGTAAAATGTTTAACGACCAAAGTCCGTTAATATGCGTGTGAAAACTAGTACTCAAGGCAAACAGCATCATCGCTGAAAATAAAGGAACACGGCCGGCAAGTTACTTTGAGCTTTTATATATGCCTCAAATAAGATCGTCACCATGTGCAGAGGGAAGAAGCTTTAGAACGTACGTGTTGAAACCGAGCGAGATTACCTTTATGATCAGTACACAGGTCGGAACCTTCCGCTAGGCAACAGAAAAAAAGGACCACCGCAGCTCTATATTAGAGTTTGTAACGGAGAATTGGCTTTGTTCAAGCCGCTCTAAAACCGTTGTTTCGTGCCACAGTCGGGTCGAGAGAGAGGGGGGGAGGGAGAGAGAGAGAGAGTGAGAGCTGAAGAGCGAACCGAGAGATGGACCGAAGAAAGAAGAGAGGGCGCGCGAGGAGGTTGCTCGAGCAACAGTGCGGAGAGAGCAGTGATCGGCGGGCAAGAGGCCGAATAGCACGCGTGTAACAGAGTTACTTCGCTGATCCCGGCGACGAAGTGTGTGCCAGTAACAAGCCACTGCCGCCGCGATTTTCTAGGAATTATCACCGGAGACAGCTCGCCAAGGCGGAGCACATCATCAGTGCGACGGCAAGCGAGCCCACCTCCATGACGGTCCGCGAGTACCGACCACGCTGCGATCGGTACAACGCGCCGGCGCTAGGCTTATGCGTCAGCACCCTGGTCGTCTTCGGCGAAAACTTGATCCTTCCGATCAACAGCAGTAGAACAACGAGCGACGATGTCGCGTGTGTTCTCTCTCTTTCTCTTCCACTCATATAATGTGCGCGTGGGTGTCGTCACGAGTGTGCCGGTTAGCCTGCAACAGTGCTCACGGGGGTTCTTTGGCCGCCTCAAAATCGATAGTTGCAGATCACTCGTACCGAAAGGTGTACATGGTGCGCGTCTATTATCCGTTAAGTTTGATTTTCCCCCGGATGATATTCGTTTGTTATTTCAAACACCAAATAAAGTGTCGAATTTGTATGTATTGTTTTCTTGAATATCGATTGTAGTTTATTTCTTGCTGCCTTCAGCTCTCGCATATCATTCCATAGCCCAACGGCTTCTTCAAGGCTAGAGTGCATTCGTGCATTCCGAGTTCAGCCTTAAATAACTAGTTAACGCGGAGCCTGAACATATTTAATTTACCCGTTACAGCCTTCAATTCAGGAACTTACTTTTGAATTTCACGGCTCGTAAAGTCCTTCGGATAATTGTTCGCGTAGTCACATCAGTCACATCAGTCGTCAAAGGGATCAAATTTCCGGAGTAATATGGTTATACGCTCGCTACGCGTCAAAGTGACGCGTAACAGCGGGGAGTACGAGAGGGCAAATCAAAGCGCGACGTGCGCACACGTGACAACGGTCAAACGAAATTAACTCGAAATCGTAAATCGTGGGCGTCGTCGCCGCGGCGCGGCATGTTCCGCTCCTCCTTGTGCGGTGCGCGCGAGACTAGCGCGACACAGCCGTACATGCGCGTGTGCGTGCGCGCAAAGTTGGTCAACACTTGGCTGAGCTTGCCGTGAACCGCAAACAACAATCACGTACGACGCGCGCCCCTCGGCGCAACTTTATAATCAATCTTGACGAATGTCGATCCTTCGCTTCGAACCTCGGCTGCCCGTGAATCTCGCACCAACTTCTGCGTCGGCCCGTTGCAATATCGTCCACGAACAAACGTCCCGCGCTCGAAATACGCGCGAAAAATATAATAAAAAGCCCCAATAAATTTTATTTTCCCGGCCTTGTTTAATTTATCGTATTTTGTTGCGCGGCGCTAGGGACGTTTCACTCTTGTTGTGAGTTTTGCATTGTTCGCAGTCGATTTATATCGAGCTAGATGCGGGCAAAAGAATACATTTTTTTATTTCCATTGTTACTCGTAACATTCGGCTAGTATTAAATATCGAACGCTTGTCCAAATACCGGGGGGGGGGAGCAGTTGTAAAGAAAAGTTTCTTTAAAGACGAGCAAAAGAAAAGCTCTTAACAGAAAGTTTTGCAAAAGCTTACTAGCCACCAAAACTGTTATTCTGCAGACAGTACAAAAACTTTCTCGAGTTTATTTTTCTCTTACAGCTTTAATTTTTCTTTCCGCGATCCAGAAAAGTTCACAGCTAATTTAGATCGACTTCAATTGGCTTGATAATAGAACTGCAAGCTGAAAACGATTGAAATACTTGTGTTGTTATTTGTAAATTTTTTTGTAACGAATTCGTCGAAACGATGAAAAAATTGGCTTTTAGTTTAAGCTTGATAGTTATGGAAAAACTTCGAGGACCAACTACGATACTAAAATAGTACACAGACTTTCAGGCCATTGAAAAATGCTTTGAAGAGCGCACTTGATGTCAAGTTCTTATCTGATAGGTTTGAGCTTATAAAAGCTTTTATCGACAGCAGCTTTCGACCAACTCGAAGGATGGTAAAGCACCGAGGTATTTTCGAATCAGGGATATAAAACTTCCAGTCGATAATGTAGGTACGCGCATGCTTTCCACAGTCGTGCTGCATGGTATATCGTTACGACAAACATTACGAAGGTTCGTAAAGTTGATCTCTCACAAAAACCTATCGAACGTCACGGGAAATTTTGTCGTTATAACGAAATTTCCTCTTATGGCAGCGCTTTTCTTCTGAAATGTAAGGATACCAAGCTAAGATGTATTATATCAATATGAGCATTTAAAATTGTCTAACAGCTATACGTACACTTATTACATATTGTTGATTTTTAAAACAGTTATTTTTCGAAAAATTGTGAGTGACTGTAAGTGTGCAAAAAAACTTAGTTTTATGTGATAATAATAAATTAAAGGTCGAAATAAATTTATTTTAATACTATCTATGTCTTAGAAATGGATTATTCTGCTAGAATAATCAATCACCCAAATATTAAGTAGTAATAGTCAAATCTGGTCGGACAATCGCACATTTATTAGTCGGGCAAGCTCAGATACACTCACTTTTTTTTGAATATATAACCTTGAATACCTTTAAATTGTATAGGGCTGTAAATAATAAATGAAGCCCTCAATCTGTAGTAGATATCAAAATGAGGGCCACAAAAGCGTTGCATGAATCACAGGGCAACGCGTACCGTGTGCGCATAACATGCAAATTTCAACGTAAAAGCGACATCGAAGCGCGATAAAAGGCCAAAATGACCTTGGACACGCACGCTCGTGTACGCGGTATACGCTACATGAAAAATCAGCGACATATTCGTTCAAGCATGGCAAGCTCTAAATCCCATTAATTGGCTCAGCATCCGAAGAATCAATAAACACAAGCTCATCAGCGTGTTAGTAAATCAAATTTGCAGAACGGGATAGAGGGAACGAGGCCAGCAATCCTCTCTCTCTCAGTTTCGAGCTCAATAGAACCGCGAACGATGGCCGAGACAGCGCGAAGACCGTAAACATAAGCTGGCTGAAGTTAATGTTTGCCTGTGGAGATAGTCAAGCGGAAATAGAGAGGCCGAGCTTGCGCGCGATAATTAAAGCGCGCAATCTGTCTTTCTCCCTTTTCGAACACTCTCTCTCTCTCTCGAAAGGTGTATGCGTACAACATGTGCCCGCGGCTATAGCTTGAGGTCGCGCCACAATAATGGGGTGGTCGTCGCTGCTTCGAGTGTTTGCCCTCGCATCAGACGTATATACGTAGCTCCAACGCGGCCGCGCCACTGCGGAGATTTCATCTATGGGCGGCTTTCTGCCGGCTGACCGCGCTACTCCTGCAACTCCGTTTACGAAACGCCGCCTGACTTTCACTTTGTGGATGCGTACCTTATAATCATTTCACTTGTTTGCCAGCGGCAAGAATAAATAAGGAGACACTAGGCCGATCCGATCATCGATGCATTAAAAATAGCACGCGGGTGACAAGGCAAAGAACGACGCGTGGGCTATCTTATCCGTTTCGTTCGATAACAGTTTCACTGCAGCGTGAGCAACTATCGTACATTACATTTCGCTGAACACCGCTATTTCAATAGATCAATTTGAAATGGATTTTACGATAAGCACAACGAGATCTTTTACTCACCACTATACGCGTTCCCCACGCGTTCTCTGAGAACGTCAGCGTAATCCTCGACCTTAGAGACGCTCACGTCAAAATTACCAAAGCTTAATTCTTCGTTCCTCTTTAGATATTCTACCATTGTTTTCATCATCAGTTGACAGGAATGTCGGCCGGCGACTTGTGTCTGTCCGTTCATGTCGTACAGCAAGTCGACCTTCCTCCAGCGGTGGCTGAAAATGCGACACGTGCAAGGAGGAGATGCAGATGCGTTCGCGCGAAGGAAGAGGCTTTCGTCGCGTCAACGATAATAATTGTAAATAAATCAGCTGACGCGTGGGCATCGCGGCAATATCTAAAAAAAGAAGCGATGCTATCGCGGTGCTTTATCAGTGGCATCGACGTGCACGCATATATATTTTTAGTTCGCGCGAGGTACGTTATTTTCCAGTTTATCGCTGACGAGCATGCACCTACATATATCGGGTTATCGGCGAACTATCGAATGGCGATTCAATCGAGTAATTGCACAGCGGGCACTTACCGACTCATCAAGTCGATGAAAAACAGAGAGATGTCACGAAAGGCCAAAGTGCCGATGCGGACGGTCATGTAGTACTCGTCCTCGCAGACTCTCTTCTTCTCGGTGAAGTCGAAGGTGAAGCCGCCGGTGGTGATGAGCGGGGCGTTGAGGAACTTGGCGATCCTGCCGACGCTCGCTTGGAGCGCGAAAGCGTCCGAACGGTCAGGCGAAATCGACAGATCGAGGGCTCCGCGCAGTGCTTACCCACGCAGTAGTCGCAGGCGGGCCCGAAGAAGACGTGCACGCAGCGGGAGTAGCTGTCGATGGCGCCGAGCTGGGCGTAGGTAGCGTCGCAGCCGTCGTCCTGCGGCAGGAAGCGCAGCTTCAGCCAGCTCGGCAGCAGGCCCATCGACCTCGCCCGACGCTCCGCCAGATCTGCAAAGGACCACGCGGCCCCGGGGGCGCGAGTTAGACGTCGCGGTCGAGCGCGCGGTCGGCCTTCGCGGCGGGCTCACTTACGGAGGACAGGCAGCACCTTGAGCAGCGAAATCTCGTACGCGGCGTCGCCGGGCAGCAGCACGGCGGCCCGCAGCTCGCAGGAGGTGATCCGGCCGGCGCGGTCGAGGCTGCACAGGGCCTCGCAGTCGCGGGGCAGCTGGGCCTTCCTGCAGGTCCAGGCCGAGCCCGCGGCCAGTAGCAGCAGCGCGAGCACGAGCAGCAGCGGCTGGCACTCGAGCATCCGCACCATCCCGACTGCTGGCCGCTCATCGATCTGTCGTCGAGCCGCGCGTCTTCGCCGCCGCCACTGCCGCCACCGCCGCCGCCGCCGCCGCCGCCGCCGCCGCCGAGCCCTTTCATCCAGCGCCAATTCACTCGGGCGTCTTCCTCGTCGTCCTGCCGCTCCGCGCCCGTCCTCTCTCGAGTTCCCTCCCCTCGCTCTCGCGCCTCACTCCTGGCTCGCAGCTGATTAATTCCGCGGCTGTTCGGTACTCGCTTATCTGCAACTAGCCAGATTGCTCGACTCGCTGGCAACTTGATAAAGCCAGACCGTGCTCGCTCGATTTGTTCGTCGCGACTTCGTGCGCCACTGCTAGGCCCAAGGCTCTTCCGCAGTATCGACTCGACGACACGACCGACAGCTCGCTTGGCTACGGTCGGACCTACGCAGGCCTGAATTTGGACAAGTCAGTTGTCTCGGGAGCCAACAGTGAGCGCAAACCGCGGCGATTCCCTGGAAGCGCGCGGCTGATCCTCGAATTCTCCTCCTTGGTCGGCGGAACGTCTTGACAAATGCGGCCCACAGGCGGATTAACGGTACATTATGCGCGCATTTCAATGACAAAAAACACTACTGATAAAAGCGCAAGTCCTCGATAGTCAGTTATTATTATGGCCACTTGACGACATTGTTGAGCAAAGCACGAAGCGCTGTTGCTAGTTAATTTGCCGAGGCACTGAAAAATCGAAGGATCGTTAAAGGTGACTTCCACGCGACGAACTCTCGTTGCACGAGTCTGTTTGCCTCGTATTTTTCGACGGCTGTTCTTTCGCTTTCTCTCTCTATCTCACGATCTTTCTCCATTTACGGGCAATCGATGCGCTATTACGCGTGCAGATAGCATTGCTCGTTGTCTTCTTGAGGCTCGCACACATAGCACAGCATGTTACGTCGAGTTGCACAGCCGCATGCAACACCAACGACGCGGTGCCTCCGCAACCTGTTGCTCGACCATTGTCACTTTTCGTTCCGAACTTCACTCCGTCGCGTGAGTGTATGGATAGCCAGGTGACCATCGACGGCTGGAAGCGTCGTAAACTCAATGAAGTTCATGAGCAGTTGCGTTACGCGATCTTGGCTGGGTAACCTGCCTCGCAGATACGACCAAGCTGTTCAGTCGTCGTCAGGCGAAAGCGTTGGCTGATCCGGATCGAAACTCGCGGGAGGATTACGCGCGCCTGCGACAAACGCGCGACACGCGCAACAAGTAAGTGACCATACAGCGCGCACGTTTGGCAGCCCTTGCGACGCGCCACTCCTTTTGGAAGTGTATAAACTCGACGCTCTGCGCGTGTCGTGCGTTGCTGCGAGTATCGACGAGCTCCAGCTTTGCTGCAAGTAGCTACGGTGAACCCAGAGGAGCTTTCGCCACACAAGTACTTCGCACACGTGAGCCATCGTACTTCGGTTGATGCCGCTGCGACTGACTTTTGAGAGAGAAGCAACGCTCGTCCGTATAGTGACGTAGAGGCGCGCGATCGCACGAGCTACTCCCACGATGTTACGCTTACAGACGCAGGCAGCCTCCAGCCAAATAAACTCTTCGAAAATAGCCAGTGTAAGCGGCGCGCCTTCAAAAGAAAAGAACTACACGGATAAGACTACGCGCGCAGATCAATCCACTGCACATCCTTACTCACGAATCCCAAGATATTCTTTCTGACCTTGAAATTCTACGAGATTGTTATTATTTTTATATGCTAGACCCTATGTTTTCTGTGTAATATTAAGTGAACGCTGTCAATTTGTGGCATTTTATGTTTATCGTTATATTTTTAGTCATGTATAACTTATATTTTTGAAGTTATATATTATATTTTTAAAGTCATGTAAAACAACACTTATTTATATTCTTTCAAATATCGAGCCCCTAACTGTCGAGCTCATCCATAAACAAGTTTTCCTATCAACAAATTTTGAATTTTCGGCTGGAAAACAAATTTTGGATGATTTATACATTTAAACAAGTTTACATTTTATGCAATATTTTATATAATCGATAAATATCGTTTGTAATTTAGCGCCTTACTTTTGTCAAGTCGATAACATACCAGACACTATCACCATGAGTATATAGCGACGGTCATCAGATGCTTCATCCTCTAGTCTACGGTTATGTCTTATAAAGAACCTTATAGAGAAGACAAGGCTCTTATATTAGCTGTACGAGGGTTGCTATTTATATTTTGAGCCTAATAATGAAAACAGTAATTTATCGTCGAAACTAGCTTTATTGTTTTTCGAAGTATTCTCTATGATGGTAAATACTCTTTCGAATGCGCTTGAACCAACTTTCGTAACACTTTTTCACTTTGATTATGTCATTAGAGGTACCTCCAAAACATAATTTTTAAATGTATCAACAAATGCATGACTTTAAAAATAAAACGAAGTCATTTGGTGCTAAATCAGGACTGTACGAAGGATAACCCATTAATTCACCTCGACATTTTGATCGGTCAAATAGGCATTTGTTTGAGCCGAAATGTGAGAGCTTGCATTGTCATAGTAAAGAATGATACGTCGTTGGCGCCTATATTTTCGTATTTCATATAACATTCTGGCAAACAAATGATTGTATATCATTTAGAATTCACCGTTTTACAATGCTCTAATGACATAATTGCCACACGTCAAGTTATTCCAAAGGAACAGGCGATCATTTGCTTCGAAGTGCTTCGCGTATGAACCACTTTTATCGGATTTTCCTTGTCTTGGAAAATCCATACAGTGGATTGCTATTTTGTTTCAGGTTCATACGCATAAATCCAAGATTCGATACCTGTGTAGACGTTATACATAGCCTTTGATGCACCGCGATTGTATTTCTTAAGAATTTCTTTGCATCAATTGACACGAACATCTTTTTGAGATTTTGTCAAATTATGCGGGATCCAACGCAAACAAACCTTTTTTTACAGCAAAATGTTCATACAATATCTTATTAATGCCCGCCATACTAATGACCAAGGATGCCTCAACTCACAATAAGTCACATCACGATCTTGCAATCAGTTCGCGCACATTAATATTTTCAGGTACATACAACGGATTTTAGAAGTTCGCACGATTTCCGTCGTTGAAAGAACAGTGGCGACGATGAAACTCGTTTTACCAGTGTTTCACAGAGACAAAGGATAGAGCTTCATCGCCAAAAGTAGATCGAAGTAAGGTAGATCGAAGTAAGTTGATCGATGTACTTCTGTCTTGATAATTCACGTCAAAAGTCGTAAAAAATCATCGCACGAAAAGATTCACGAGATAATTCCATTTTTCGCTGAGACAAAATTTTCAAGTCAATGTAAGCAACACAAGTTATACTCCAACCATAAAACTTTCTAAAGAATATTTTAGTTAAAAAGGTCAAATTTTCAAATGGTAAGGTCAAATGATACCTAACAACACTAGGTTTATCAAGGCTCAAAATATAAATAGCGACCCTTTGCTTCGTTTCCTTCGAGATAATGAAGATAATAGATAACAATCTACCGGCAGCACATGCATGGCTAACGCGCTTTCAATTCGTGTCGAGACAAGTTTTTAGGTAGAGGTTTAGGCGGGTATACTAAACATCAAAGTATAAGCACCAGAGACAGTTAAACACAGTCTCTATAATATAGTTGCGATTGTCACTCTAATACTTTTCTTTCACTTACTACATAGTTTGCTAATATAGTTAGTACAATGTGTGAAACTGATTTATTTCAATTTTAATACTCTGACATGACATTATAAGATACATCCGCTATTCGCAAGAGTATTAGTTATTTTTTTTATAACCACTTGTTATTATTTTAAGGTTAATAAAAAATGAACGATCCAATAACGTCTACCAAGTTTTACGGCAATTCTCTAATTAATGTTTATAATGGTATTGAAAAGAAAATTGAAAAAGCAAAACATAGAAGACCTGTTGAATACGAAGACAGACATAGAACAATTTTTGAACCACTTCCTTACAAGAAAGAATTTTGGAAACAATCTGATGCACTTGCTGATGCAGCTGAATATTCACAAGGACCAGATATTCTTTGTTGCTTTGTCTTTCAAGATGAGAATGAGAGAAGACGTTTCATTGTTACATATCCCGAAGATTTTTGGAATGATCTTGAACATTGCCCCCCAGAGAGAAGAGTTTTTTATGAGGTATTTAAATTTAATTACATAATAAATAATTAACTAGTTTATATGAATCTAAAATGCTTCATAATATAAAAAATTCATTATAAAATTTTCTATTAAAACAGGTGATCCCAGAAAATTCTCCATGTTTTCTCTATTATGATCTCGAATTTAACACTGAAATGAACAAAGATAATAATGGAATTAGGATGACTCAAACAGTTATAGACTTGACGTGTGAATATATAAAAAAGTATTGGAAATATCCTTGTAGTAGGAATGAAGTAATCAACTTAGATTCTTCAAGAGTCGGAAAATTTAGTAAGCATTTAATTTTCCATACTAAAGAAGTAGCGTTTGAAAATAATTTTCAAGTAGGCTACTTAGTAAAATCCATTTGCACAGATATAATAAATTTTGTATCTTGTGAAAGTACAGAACATGATATTCTGAGTAAATTTGACAAATCCAATTTAACAGAATTATTTGTTGAAACAAATAAGGGAAAGAAATTATTTATAGATATTAACGTCTATACAAAAAATAGACATTTTAGAATCTACAAGGCAACAAAATGGGGAAAAAATTCTCACTTACTTCATGCTTCTGATTGCGAATATGTTTGGAATAATACAGTCAAAAATAAAGATATGAACATATTTATCAATTCCTTAATTTCATATTTACCAAAGAAAAAGAAGTTAATGTTATTAACATTTGATGAGAATAAAAAAGCACAAATCCAGTCTTATTCCCAAAATGCAGAAGCAAGATTAAAGCAGTCCTTCATGTGTAAAGAATATCCAAAATCACCGTACCCAGCTCTGAATAAATATATTGCTGAATTTGTTCAACCAGGGAAAATTCGAGATACAAAATATATGGAAACAAGACAGCTGATAATTTTTGAAATTATAGGAAATAGGTAAGATGCGATATATGCAAAAATATTTTTCATCCGCCAAAATTAAATCAATAAATTTCCTGCAGATATTGTGACAACATTGGTAGATGGCATAAAAGTAACAATATATATTATATTGTTGACCTTATCAATAAAATTATGTATCAAAAATGCCATGATGAAGACTGCCGTGGATTTGTTTCTACTCCTAAAGCTTTACCAGTTGAGGTAACATTTCATTTTTCAGATACAGCAGATTCCGTTTTATCAACTATAAATTGTTAGGGAAGATTAATTTTTCCTCAAAAATTGCTTTAAAATCAGCAATATATTTCTTTAATTTCAAGAGTTTTTTGTTCATATATAAACTACGTGAGTGATTATTATGTAATTCAGTTACACATTGAAATAGACTGAATAATTTTATTAATAGATTTTATTTACTTTAAAATCAAATTGGTCAAAATATTTATAAATTTTATAAATATAAGACGTTTTATTCCAATGAGTGCATTTTATTAAACAAAGCATTTTCTATTATACAAGAATATATACACCTATCAAGACCTTTTCACTTGATTGAACTTTAAATACAATTGGCAAAGAATTAAAAATATTAAAAATGCTATCAGTTTCGGGTAGATGCGGCAATTAATTATATCTGCTTTTTGCAAAAAAAATCAAAGTTTAATATATACATAAAATTAATTTAAAAGTTATGCAGCAAAATCTGTACACAGTCAATATCACAGAGTATATTAACTTTTTTATAATGATAATTTATGCACCACCGACGATAGATTACTGTTTGTTAAAATAAAATTTGCTATGAATTGTTATTGCACATTATTTGAACCTCTTTTTTTATCCTTTTTAGATATTTTTTATCGGAATTTCTGTTATGCAAATAACTTAGCTAAATAAATGTAATCTAAAAATCCTGACTCTACGTCTTGAAGAGGATCACCCTCATTACTGTCTTCTTTCTTTTCTTCTACACTATCATCTGCTAGCTCATCTACTTGAATAACAATTTTTTCTGAGGGGTCATCTTCAGAGTCTTTTGTATTTGTTATCCCTGTAGAACTTGAAACTTTTTCATTGTTCTCTATCTGTCTTTCTTTGCTTTTATTTTCATCAATACTATCAGCATTTTCATTTGAACTAAATTCTTTACTTATAATTATAAATGGTGTTGACACTGATTTTTCAGATTCTTGTATCAATGTTTTATAACTTTTATAATCTTTTGAAGCTTGCCTCATTTTACATAAATAATCTGGTAAACCTTGATTGACAAAAATGAAACATTAGTATATGTTCATAAATTCTGTTCTTGATTAAAATCTATATTTGCTTTTTTCACTAATTTATTACCTGACATTGCAACCCAGGATGTCAAGGCTGATGGCATATTAACACCTGGGTCATCAAAATATGTTAATCCAAATTCAATGCCTGGTTCATGGAAACTTTTAAGAGGTTTTATAACCATGTAAGACCAATACTTTTTCACCCTGAAAGTTGATATGAATGTATCGAATGTAATTTAAAGTTTAGTGGAAAGTAAATTTCATGACCTATAAATACCTATATGTATCTGGTCTATTTGGAGCATTTGGATGATCCATGCCTTTGCTAACAATTATGATCATGCCAGTATTTTTATCATACATCCACCTTCGTTGATACACATAGTCTCTATTTGCAAACATTCTCTAGAATATAATTAGACAATGTTTGTGTTAGGATGTGACAAAATATTATACACTATTAAATTAAAAAAAAACATACTGGCCAAATCATTTCCCAGTAAATTATATCACTGCAACCTTCGATAGGTTCATTGGTTGATGGTTCTGTATCTATGATTTCTAGTTGTTTAGCAGTATCATCCCATTTTTTACGATAATCAATATCTATTTGGACTTGCAAAAAATCTTCAGCAGAAACATCATCATAAGTTGCATGTATTTTATAAGCATATAATCCTCCATTGTCTTTTTCCATCCTTCGCCACATTAACATATCATTACGTTCTAAGAAAGGTTCCCATTCTATACCTGAAAAAATATGAGGCAACAACATCATGAGATATTTGTCAATTATTGAATTTTAAAATAATACACGCAAATTTACCTTCTTGTTGAGCTCTCTCAATGGCACGTTGTGGTTTAGTACATTGACAATATTGAATACTTGGTTGATTAATGTCAACAACTAATCTTAAATTACATTTTGGACAGAGTACTGTTAAATTACGGAGTTTGTGTATACTTTCTATTTCTCTACTGTAACTTAATATTAATAAATTCAATGAAAAAGTAGTAAAAATAAAGCAACTTCATTTAATTTTATGCAAGTAAAATTTTATTTTTATCTTTACCTGTACATTTCTTGATCAGGTATTTTTTCTGTTTCCCAATTGAACATTGTAACACCAATAGCACCAATCAAAAAGTCTTTGGTATTCTTTGAAGCTCTGCGTCTCCATTGTCTGATGAATTCTCGTAAAGCTACTTCGTCCCAAATTCTTGTGTAAAGATGAAATATTTGTATACTTCTTCTGATTCTTTGAGCTGCTATAAACTCAAATTGTTTTGTACAAGCTTTAACAACTTGAATACTTTGCTCCCTCAACCATACACTCATTTTTTGACCACAGTATTTAAACCTACCATGCAATTTATAGTATGGAGAGAAAAAATTCAGATTTTTCAAAAATTCACAATTTATATTCGCATTATAACGTTTTAATAAAATTCCTGATACATAACGTGAATACATTTTGAATTTTTCAAAAGACTTTTCTTTTCAATTGGGCGCGAAATACATAACTCATGTAATTAAGGAGAATGCCAATGTTACGTCGTTCTAAATATTTGATAGTAATAAATAAATTCAGCTTGAACATGCAGTCTTTGCAAACACTAAAATAAATACTTATAAAAAATTAGTTCAAATGATCTTAATTATGATTTTTAGGTTAAGATTTAGTATTGGTTATTCAATCATCAGAACAAATTGACAATAGCGCTAATTTATTAGAAAAACTAATACTTTTAATATTGTCACAGATTTTCAAATAAATTAATTTTTTTTCATTTTCTTTTGTAAAAAAAGTGCGATTTTGAACCTCACATTGGCTACATGCGTGAAAACTATCAATGTCTTCCTATAAACTTGCTCACACACAAGGTCGTACATGCATATGCACAGTTACATACATCTATACATGTTACTATAGAGAAAGTACCATTACTAAAGAACAGATGTCGTTTTTTTAGGACACATCGTATAAATCACATCTTTTTTAATATTATATAATATATATATATATAAATCGATGTAAAAATGTGTTCTTTGAAATATGAAATCTTTCAGTAGCAAAATGATCATTTACGGAATTTTTGACAGAATATTCGCGTAATGAAAAAATACATTTAAAGTTATGAAAATGTTTTTAATTGATTAAAGTTGCAAAATCTTACGAAAATTTAAACCAATGATAAAACTAGTTATAAAAATCGAAAAATTACATTTCGGAAGTAATTGTAAACTGCATTTATAATGCATTAAATATAAAGTTGCAATCATATTTAATCGTGATTACTTAAGACAAGTAAATTTTTAATCAAAGTCTCCTTGTACATTTTCATAGACATACAGCCACTTGAAAAAATTTTTAGCAGGTCCTTTGATTCGTCTAAACATTAAACAATTGATACTTCAAACAATTCTTTATCGATAAATGGCCTATAGTTTACGAGTAATCAATCTTGAAGGGTTGTATTTTGTATAGCAGATTTTTTTAAATTAAAAAAACAACCAATAATAATTTTCATTTGTCAGTAATGCTTATTTTTTATATAAATTAAAATATAGGTATGCTCATAATACGAAAGTAACAATTAAGAAATTCTCTAGGTTTTTTTATTTTTTTGAAAGAACCGGCTGCTCAGAAAATTCAAAATTGATTAGTCATGACCGAGATGTGAATATTTACAGTAATTGTTTCAAATATCCACTGTATATAGTTAACTTGAAGTAATTGAAGCAAAATCACGACAAATTTTCTATACCTACAGAAATGTATTGTGGAGCCCTAAATGCCGTCTAAACTGAGTATACATACGATACAATCTGTACGATATAAGCTGTAGGATATTGTAGGGATGTTTGTATAGATTTTACCATTGAGAACAAAGTTACAACTTTATTAAAATTAATTTGTTGAAATATAGATTATAAATAATAATGTTTCTTTTTTCGAACTAAAATGGATCCTTCTCTCTTCGCAACCAATAGCTATGCAGAGTTTGCACGTCGCTGGGCTTCAATCTAAAAAATAGAAAGTTCGTAATTATTAGAGTAAGTCTATGGAAATATAAACATTAAATCAATAAAACTATTGTATAACAAAATGTACTCTGGTGTACGAATGTTTAATTGAATTTGCCTCGTCTAGTACAATATCAATAGCAAACAAATAAGTTAATTGATTAATTACGTTTTAAATAAACCGCAAAATGTAGCAGCTAGCGTTATTCATATCGCACTATCCGCGCGATACAATTCCAGTCGCTATTCCCGAATTATTTGCAATTTCCTGATGATATATCCTGAGCCGGTATTTAATTCAACTATTCATTAAAGATAAAACCAGTTTCTCGTAAAAACTAACTTTAACTGTGGAAAAGTTTAGGAAAAGTTGATCAACCTGATGAACAGCAGTAATGCATACAACGGCAGTTGAGCGGTGTGTTTGATTACACATTTATAATAATTGTGTGGATCGATGGAATGTCAAAAATTCGTCGAATCAGTACTTGGAAAGTAATTGTAAAATAGCCTCCCACTTTAGCTTCTCAGCTAACAGTATGTTCCATACACCCGTAGAGAAGAATTAAGCTTAATTATATATTTTGAGAGCCAAGTGCAGTTCGTATAGCTGGCAAGTTGGAAAAAAGGGCGAGGAAGTATTTGGATAGAAATCGAATCGACGTGAAGGTGAGACGGTTGAGTCGAAACTGACCTGCTTGAGTTTGCGGTAGTAGCGCAGGAGGAGATCGAGGTCAGGCTGCTGAAGCCTGAAGGGGTGACGATCTTGAGATTCGACGACGGTTTCTTGATTGGCGACTTGCGGCGCTCGGTTCCTCTTGCCCCAACCGGTAGAAAAGTTGAGCTGAGCCTCGGTTTGCACCATCAAGGCCAAGCACAAGCAGAGGCTCAACGCCAGGACGCTCAGTCGCAGCTGCCTACGACACACAAGCTCATTCAAACTAAACCCAGTAGTGTCCGAGGCATACTCGTCACTGCAGTCGGTGCCTGAACGAGGCAGTGAAATACATCGACAATCCTTACAACCGACCGATCATTTCGCACATCGAATTTTTCATGCAGTTGCCCAAATGCCAAGCTCCCGACCAACTCACATGTTTGTCGCACTGTCTGCGGCTCTTCTTCTCAAATCGCTATGACACACTGTCGGCACAAACTTTCACTCGAATCAAGTCAAATGCAAAGCTGCGATCTGCAGACAAAGGCGATGCCTATGCGCTGCAGAACTACGAGTGAAAGTGGCTCTGCTAAAGCAAAGTCAGTGAGCCTGCAGTCGAGAGTCGAACGAGAGCGAGCTGTCCTTCCCACCGAGCTTTCGACGAATTGAGCTTCCACGATGATTTGTCGAGGACGACCGCTGGCAACTCCGAGTTTTATATCGGTTGTCGACGCCCCACCGCCGATGACTTTCAACCCCCGTGCGCTTGTGGACGTTCACTTGGCACGCATGTGCGGGTGCACTGTGTTGACGCAAATCGCCCGAAGGGGTTTCACCGGCTCCGTATATCGCTGTCTCTTGGCAGCATCCCTTTCAGCGAGCGAGAATAAAAATAACAAAAATAAATGTCGATCAGCAATTACGACGCGCGCTCATCAAACGTTTTCCTGCGATTGTACAGCGCAACCAATTCAATAGCATGCTAATTGCGAAGGAAACTTCATTGACGCGATCGACGAACGTTTCGCTTGATTCCGCCTTATACGTATTTGAGCATCCGATAGATATCCCATTTACGTATTGGATTCGTAAATAATTTTCGGCTCTCTTAATTACGAATTTTAATCTAGTTTAGTTGGCATTTCTTGCGTGGATAAGCGCTTTGATAACCGAAATACCCAAGCTATTAATACTTTAAAACTGCAATTTCAATTTTCAAATGGATCTATCACCATCATGCCCAATTTCACATAATATCCAACAGTTTTAATTCATTAATATTAATAATACTAAATGAATTCGTTAATAATTGAATTAAATTTTCATTAATATTGCACCGAATGCCTTTTTTATGGAATGATGCGTTCGCTAGTACGCTCTCTTTTTCAAAGCCGAAAACATTCTATCGGCTTGACTGCATACAAGAAAAATCAACATTGTCTATAATCGCGTGAGGCCAGCTTTCAAAATCTATGCCGTTCGAAGAAACAAATGCGTTTTATTCATTTCAGCTACGATATTTTACATCTCTTTTTCGACTTTTTTTGCATTTTTACTTTGATTAAAAAGTACACAGTCACGCAATATCTATGTAAATTCGATTTCCTCGAATTTTCGGCGCAAAGTTAAAAAGCCGCACATCGAATTTAACTCAATCGGCATACAGTCGGGTCATTTAATCAGCGTGCAAATGAATTCTCGACGAAATATTACACGGTCTGTCTACTTGGAATTAGGCTGCTGGTAAAGCAATCCGAGAAATTCAAAGCAAGTCGCAAGCGTCGGAGAAGAGCGTCGCCAGTGACGAATGGACGTGCGGGCCAACTGAACCGTCACGGGGGAAGTTTATTCACCAAGCTTGCGCCACGAGTCGCCGGGCGACGTTTCACAAGTCATTAATGCCAGCTAGGGAAGACGGAAAACGAGACCGGACGTCGGCGTCGGGGCTTCTTTTTCATTTTCTCAAAAGGAGACGAGGAAAAGAGCTCCTTTCGAACGTTTGATTTTCTTTTCTTGCTGTTGAGTTTTTTTTTTCTATTAGGCGAAGAAGCCACGGAGGACAACTAATCAAAGCTATTTGCACATGAGACGAGACTTGTGCCGCGCCGTAGTCACCGACTCGAGAAGCTTTTCAGCAAATGGCTTTTTGTTTGCGATGCGCGTCGATTTAGTCACGTAAGTCGTCGCATCCTCGTCAACAGTCCGACTTCGCGTGGACTCACTCGTTGTGCCCGCACCCGCGTAAATATTTTCACCGCCGCGTGACATATACATACACTGCTGTAGTAAATGTTAACTTTATTGAAAATTAATGTATGCAAGAACTTCACGAGAGAAACCTGGAACGTTTATTAAATGATCGAAATACCCATTGTGGCTGTTCCAACTTCTATAATAATAACGTCGAGGAGCAGGAAAAGGATTAATAATTTATGAACCTTAACCATCTAGAATAGATAGAAATTTTTCCTATATTTCTAATAATGGTAAAAAAGTCAAAATACATGGAGCTTAACATAAATTAATAGTGGATCGATGATGGGAATGGGTGTTCGTGGTACGAACGATCGGACTTATATTATATCATTCAATTATCACGTATTCGTTGGCTTATGCCATTTATATAATTATGGAATATTCCTATACATGTACATTGAAACAAACAAATTGTCATCCACTTTCACATTTATTCCCTTAGTTTTACTATATCTGAATCATTTTATTTAACTCCATTACACGTCTCCTCGGCTTACAAAAATTGTGTTTCATTTCTTGTGTTTCATAGTTTACGCTTCCTACTTATTCATTTACTTTATTTTTCAACGAGTTTTCAAACTAAAATGATCAAGCAATGATTACAATCGTAAATCGATGAAATCTTATGGCTTAGGCTTGAACAATGATCTTTAATTGATTCGCTGATCAAAAATAATTTTGTGCAATGATTCCCGCTCTTGTAGAAAAGAAAATAAAACGGTAGTTTTCGAAATTCATCACGCTACAGTGATAAAATTATTTTTAGGATACCATTGTAGAATAAAATTTCATTGTTTTAACTTTTAATCTTAAATTGAATATTATTTTTGTCGTATTGCAATCTCTCATGCTCGATAAAAATGTTACAGGATCAACTTTGGTACGTTTTACTCTTACAATCCTCGTTTATAAAACTACCTGTTATTACATTTTAACTTTACATTGAATATAATGTTTTTCACATATATCTATAAAGATTCGTTATATATAATATGTGTACAGTAAGTGGTTAGTAATTTTGGAATTCTATTCTGGAGATCAAGAATTTATAATACAAAGATCTTCAAATTAAAATGTATAAACGCAAAATACTTAATAAACGATACTTATAACTTTAATCAGATTAAGTAAAAAATACTTATCAAACGCATTATGATTACTAGTATCAATTGGAAAGTATCTTCGTTAATAAATTAATTACATTACATTTAAGGACCTTCAAAACAGAAATATTAGCTCGAATTTATTTTGAGAATAATGCTATACTTTTCAATCATAATGCATTTTTTATCGTCATTCTTGATAATAACAAAATTAAGAATGAAACCATGCTGTAGCAGTCGATTTTTGTTTATTTAAATATATATTTTTTTGAATAAAATTCACTACTTTTTTTGCACATATTGATTTATAAATATGATGCATAAAATATTCAATAAAATTGAAACGTTTAAAAAACATATTTATGAGATATGCACGATAAATAACATTTTATAAAAGTTTCATTATAAAAACACTGCCTTCGGCGAATCGTTTTCTTAGAAACGAGTAATAAGGAAAATCTTTTCGTCTATATTATTTCAATAACTTTAAAATTAAATAACATGTATTCTTTGCCAACTGAAAAATATGTGTATGTTGATCTTTGAATACAAAAAACTAATCTAGTCAAGCTATCGACTCTACATAATTATGTATAAATCTTCACGCTTTTAATTCATACAAAAAAATTATAAATCTTTGTGCAAAACATAATTTAAATATAATTACAAATTCTTATAAACACCATACAAAAGCTATTATTATTTATTATTCCCGGTGACAATCTAAATCATTCTAGCGAAATCATTGAATACGTAACATTTAATTTCAAAACATTTTTTACAGGTAAAGAAGACAAATTTCATCAAATTCAGTTTGCGCAAGAAATGTTTTATTTTGGCCATTTCACACTGTAACATTTCTTACTGATATCTCTATTTCTTTTTAATTTTGTTATGATTGATGTTTATTCGAAAAAAGTATGGTTATCATTTTCTTAATCAACAGTTTCTTATTTATACCGGTTAGAATATTTACAATATAGTTGGCTTAAGATTTAGGATAATTAGCACCAGGCTACGTCCTCCAAACTTTCATTCTCGTATATTTCTCTCAAACAGAGAGATGTCGATCAAGATTTTACGCACGTTGCCAATCGTCATGACACTGTCAAAAAGTAAATACATCCGTGAACTTGATGAAGTTTATCGCGATTCGCAGCTTCGAGCTTCTCCTCATTGAGAATGCGCATAACGTACATAATTACTACGTGCTGAATATAATACTGCTTTTATAATACGAACGGGATGACTAGTTATTAGTTAATTGCGCTAGTAGTTACATAAATTCACCCTGTTATCAATATACTGTTCATCACAATTTCCATATTATTCATTAAATGTATCTAATTTATCGTATTGTCTAGCAACAACAAACTATAAGTGCAATTCCGTCACAATATTTTTCTTTTTAAGTAAATAATATGATTGAACATTATTAAGACGAAAATCTTCGTTTAATATTCAATGTAAAGTAAAAGACAAATTTAACGAACCCGCATATTAACAACTACAAAAAACAAAATTAAAAAATAAAGTACTACAGTTTCACTAGTTGTTGTATAATAATTCAACGCCAACTTTCTATTTCACGGTCGACAGTACTTTCGTTTTCTTTATCTGTAGCTACGTCAGCATACATATCAGCGAGCTTACGGAATCTCGAACCAAAATTAAACAAGTAATTAAATTTGAGATCACCATCGTCTGTACAAGAAGCTAGAGAGGAAAGCGAACCCTCAGAATGGCCTTCGCCCTCGTAAGCATAATATCTGACGTCGTCGAAAGGATATCTACTCGAATTTTTATTGTAATACTCGTTTTTGTTATCGAGAAATCCACATGTGCCTGGCACTTGGTCCGTTTCTGCAAACATAAATTTCATTGTCATATTAAATAAATTTCAGGAATAATAAAAAAATTGTGCGACTGAAAAGTTACCTCTTTCTCGGAGAAAGGCCCGATCGACCTTTATATCGTTCGGTCGATCATACATTGTTCGAAGTACGTTGAGATCATAGCTAGTATCGACCTCGCCACCACCTTCATCTTCGTAATTGATAATGTTCTCCCTAATGTCGTCTATATCTTTGTACAAATCGCCCGTCTTACGTCTATGAACGACAACCGCCAACAATAAAATCAGCAATATAGCGAGGCAAACGAAAATAGCCACCCATAAATTCAAGTTTATTCCAAACAGAACATCTTTCGCCATGCCGATACTACATCCTGGATTCGCGTTGTGCGACAGCGCTGTCATACCAAGATTATAGGTCTGTACAAGAAATCATTCAGAACGATTAGCTTTATTGCAGAACAGCACTGTGGTTATAATTACATCATTGAAACATACATTTCCGTTGATTGTCATGTTTCGAATACATCCAACAAATCCTTTCATAGTTGGTACATGTTGCCATCTGAATTTTTGTCCTAAATCAAACAAATTTTTCTGAGCGCCTCCTACTTGTACTGGACTATTCACATTGAGAATTTCCAGCGTGCCGAGGGGTGCCTCCGATCTCGTACAGCTCGATTGCACGTAGCCGTCAATTTTCATTTCAATATTCTTAAATATTTAGCGAGTTTTCAAGATATAATTCGAATAAGAATTATCGAACTCAACGATCATCTATCATTTTAACGACTTACAGTTTTAGACCACCAAATGTCTATTTTATGAGGTTTCCCATCAGCGATGAATACTTGGTTACCGCTAACTTCGTTATTCTCGCCGCTAGACTTGGATCTATCAAGCATCACGGTACCTTGGCCATAATTCATGTACAGCACAGGATTTCCATTTTGTAATTCTAACGACATAAAATCTTGAACACCTAACTTTTGAGAATAGATCATCGGGCCGAAATAGAAGATTAAGCCATCTTTGGCATACGATGTTATTTCAAGGCCTGGAAATCAAATGAAGGAAAAATTAAATAACAGCTCGTGACATTTGCCGAACGAGCTAACGAGCAGAACAAATAGAAAACCGGATACAAAATAACCCACTCAAGTAGGACTCGTTGCAGGCTTGTCCCGGTGGAGGCATGATGGCCCAACCGTCCCCCTGAAACTCGATCGATAATTCGCATCTCGGCCCCTCAAATCCCGGTGGGTACTCGCATCTCGTGTCGAGGGACGTGCTGCCGTTCAGTCTGTCGATTGGCTCGTCCACGTGGCAGATGCATTGCGGATCCACTACGGCTTCCACGCCCACGAACGAGCTTGTATTCGTGTGAACAACGTACGGCGTCGAACTTATGTTCAAGTAACTTCTGCACGAGCTATTGCAGTGGACCTGTAGTCATTCGAGTTGACGTTTATGTATGAGCCCAAGTTTCTCTCCGCCCGCCAAGAAGAAGGAGCCTTCGTAGAGAGCTTTGAAACGACACGTACCTTCTCGAATAGACACTCGTCAATATTGATCAGCAAAACTTGAGCACCCACGCGATCGGCAATCTCTTGGGTATGATCGGAAACAATTGTATTGAGCTTCTCGGCAGCGTAGTAAGTACTGCCGTGAACGGCAAAGCGCACATCGAGGACGGAATCGTTTTGGTAAGGCGAGTGTAGGATCGTGAAAACGTCGACATTTTCTACAGACGTATTGAATATGGTCGAAAGCTGCTTCTGAAGTAGGTCCTTTTTACTAATTCCTAGGCTGGACGGTGCAACCAGATCTTCGGCAGTGATTTCAAGAAAACGAATAGAACCCGACTTGACCACTGCTTCCTTAGGGATTTCTTTAACGATTACCTTAACCGTTGCTTCAACTTGGTGTCTTCTTATCTTAAAACCTGGAATTTCATTTTAGATGTTAGTTCGTTGTCACGAGTACTTAAAGCCCACGTGGTAGATCTATTTTTAGAGCTACTTACTTTCTTCGGTAACGGTGAATTTGAGTAAAAAGGTTCCGCGTTTAATATCAGGAAGTAAAGTAATTAGTCCCGTGGCCGATTCCAGCAAAAAGCCGTCCTCAGGACGATTGTCGCGCCACGAAAAAGTTTTGTCTTCGAAATCCCAGTCATCGGGATCGTTGACGTAGACCCTACCGATATCGACCACCGGCGACTCCCCATTATAATTGTAAACAAAAATAGAGCTAGAGCCATTCTGCATTGGATTATCATTCTCATCGCCAATAATTACTGTTAGTAATGAAATGCCAGTAAGGCTCGGCGTGCCATGATCAATTATAGCCACCGGTATATTGTAGCTCTTACGTTCTTCTCGGTCGAATTCTACTTTTGCCCACAAATCATTGCCGAGAATTTCAAAGCTTCTGAGAATCTCATAATCGGCCGAGACGTCGATTCTGTATGTAAAAGGTGGACCGTTTTCATCGGAATCATAATCTCGCGCACGAAGCTGAGTTATGTTACCCGGGCGTTGATTTTCGCGCCAAACTACATTTGGCATGTCAAGGAAAGGCGCATTGTCGTTGATATCCGTCAGAGTAATATTTATCGAATCCGCATTACGAAGAGAGTTGGGTCCGCCATCTTCATCCTGCGCGATTACAGATATCTGCAGAAATAGCGAATCAAAGAAAACTCATAATTAAAAAAAGCTACATATTTCAAAATTATCGAAAGTTTATATATTTAACAATTATTGTTTTTACGTTTTAAAAAATAATGCAGCGCTAAAGTTATATTGAATACTTTTATTTTATAGCCAATGCGTATATTGAAACAATTTGTAATTTTATTTATTTAAAATTTGTTTTTAAATTCTTACCGACCAAACTGGATAACCGTGTAGTGAGTCATGATCTAAAGGTTTCTTTAATATCATACAGCCATCTTTGTCGATGTGAATTAGCGACTTATGTTCCGGCCTCAATATCGAATAGACAATGTGCTAATCGGCTTGTCTATCCTTGATATCCGCGTCGTAAGCGGTGATTGTAGTAAGGCAACCTGTTGAAGTACAGTGACAAAGACAGTAAAAAAAAACTTGGGTTTGAATTAAATGTTGGCAAATTTAATGTACTAAGGATTTACCTTTGTAGGACTTCTCCTCTTCGATGATCGGATTTCTGTCATAGATTTCAAAAACAGGCTGATTATCGTTGACATTCTCAATGAAAATGCGCACAGTGGTCGTGTCGTCGAAAACCCCGTCGAAGGCTCTGACGGTCAACTTGTACTGAGTAATCTTTTCGTAGTCGAGACGCTGATTGACGCGAATCCTGCCGGTGGTATTCTCAATCATGAAACTATCGTCGTCGTTGCCAAAGAGAATGCTGTAGATGATGGAACTGGCCGTGTCGGCATCCAGCGCCTTTACTTCCGTCACGAGGGCGTTGACGTTGGCGTCCTCGGGTACGGCGTTGGCCGTGTACTCGCGCTGACTGAAGTGCGGCGGATTGTCGTTCTTATCGGCGATCTCGATGCGGAAATTCTGCTCGCCTCTATTATGCTCGCCCGTCTTGTAAAGGGCACTCGGCGAATTGTCCGTCGCGATCACTTTGATGGTATACGTGTTGTCGGACTCGCGATCGAATTTCACCAGAGTGGTGATGTTGCCCGTGTAACGGTCGATCGCGAACAACTTGTCGTAGTTGCCAAGCGCATAAGTTACCTGCGAACACAACGCGTGAATTTCAGCTGATTTTCTCCGGTATAAAATTTCTTTCATGAAAAAAGGCTCGTTCTTAAGCCAGAAAAGTCATTCTCTAAATGGGGCATCCACGGTTGGAGTTTGCCATCAAACTGAAATAATTCAATACTAATCGGATCGAAAGCTCACCTGGTTGTGAGCGGAAGTGCCGTCGGCGTCGATCGCTCGAACCTGCATAACCGGTGTACCGGGCGGCTCGTTCTCCAGCACGCTGCCCTTCTTCATTTCGCGAAAGCCGGGGATATTGTCGTTGACGTCGAGCACCTCGACGTAAATCATCGTCTCAGCTGCCAGCTGGTACTTATTCTGCACGCGTACGATCAGCGAGTACTCGTTGTTGCTCTCGTAGTCGAGCGACTTGGCGAGCTTGATCTCGGCGGTGTTCCTGTTGGACACTAGCCTGAAGGTGTTGTCCTTGTTGGTTTGCTCGGTCCTGCCAGTGACGAGCTCGAAGAGGAAGTAATCGAGACTGTCGTCGACGTTAGAGACGGCCTCTAGTCGCACGATGCCCGCCTCGTAGTTGCTGAAGTTCTCGGGCAGCCTGATCACGTCGTCGGGGCTGTAGGTCAAGGTGGGAGCCCTCTTGTGCGACTCCACCACGCGAATCTCAATGTTTATGACGCTCTGATTGGGCTCGTCGCCCTGGTCCCTCGCTGTCGCCGTCATGCTGAACCAGTAGCCCGGAGTTTTCTGCGCAAGCTTGTCCGTCAACGACTGAACCATCCGCGAGCTCGCAAGCTCGTTCGCTCTATCGCGCGTCGCGCTCGTCAGGGCTAACTTACGTCTATGCTATGATTCAAAAAGATAACGCCGGTGTTGACGTCGACCCTGAAGTAGACGCTGTCCTCGGGGCGCTTGGGCAAAATGCTGTATTGGACCTTGGAGTTCGGCCCGTTGTCTATGTCTGTGGCAGAGACCCTCATCACCTCCCTGTCGACCGACAGATCCTGCGGCACCGACTCCTTGTAGAACTGCGAAGCAATCGTGGCAAAACGCGCCGATCAAATATGGACTATATACTAGATGCGACAAGCTGTTTATGAGGCGATCGATTGTGAATTTAACACCCACGTATTATTCATGATTGATCTTATCGGCAGCTCGCAGCTTTACTTGGACTTATATTCACGGCTGCAATCGATCAAATTTTTGTTCCTTGCATAAATCTAAGTTATTCCTCGTACAATAATAAACACCTGTTGCCGCTTAGCCACTGCCTATCGTACACGCAGTTAGCTATTGTTGTATTCGTGTATATGTGTAAATACATATACAAGATGTAAGTAGATATGGTGCCGGAGGGAGGGCTCATCGCCGACGTAAATTAATGTAAAAGGGCGCTCTGATTGCATGCACGCCATGGGAGCGAGTACCAAGCGCATTACAGCTTTATAACCCCAACTACATTATTCGAACATCAAACATCGGACAACGTCAATCATGAGAAACTGCAGTCCGGCGCCGGCGCACGGCTATTTAGCCTTTAATATTTCGGGATTGATCGACATCATCATTCAGCATCTAGCGCATCTACAAAAACATTTCAACTGTCCGAGCTGAAAATAATGGCTGCGATTTATTGCCGAAACAATCATGCGTAATGCCGTGTGGTGTTAAATGCGCCACGCTGACACCGTATACCGTGCCATCGATTTCCTTATTGTACACCACGCGCCGGATTCTAATCTACATATATGCATGCATATTTGAACTATATCCGATGTCCACGCGTAACTCACTGAACTGATCAACTCGGCCGATCAACCACGTCAACTCGACGTTCGTTTTGTCAATTTGATCAATCGAATTCGTTCAATGATTTTTCTCGATTACAATTGAAAATTTTGAGGATATATTTTGCAAAGCTAGCCCCCACAACTGGTAATCGCTGGAGATTCAATCAATAAGTTTTTTGCATTTTTAGTGGAGACAGCCGTGTGGAAGAGTGCTTTAAAATTGAAATGAAAAACTTAGTTACTGTTTTGGAAAATCAGCAAAAGTTCGACGACCCCGCAACTTCGTGCGTCACACTCGGACAATATCCATCGAGATGTGATTGCTCTGATTCGCATCGCGTTCATTCGGGTCCTCTTGCGAGAAAGGATAGTTACGACTTGAAAAAGAAAAATGTTGCCGGCAAAATGAGAAGATCGATGTCGCGCAGCGATGTAATGTAATCGAGGCAATTTACGGGTCGTTTCGCGGAAGTGCAATCCGTAGCCGCGGAGGTGGTCGCTTTACGCGGAGGCTGGCGAAGGTACAAACGAAATATAGATAAATAACGAGACGAGCGCTCGCGTCGGGTACGTTTATTCGTGAGTTTATTCGCGAGGTGTGCGCGTGTAGCATACATATACAATAGTATGTTCGAGTATATTGGTTGGTATATGTAAAGCGGCGCAAGTATCGAGGTTGGATGAGGGTATAAAGAAAACAAGGAGACACAGATTTGCGAGCAGCAGCGTATGCAAGAAAGTAATGTCAAAGTGGAGCATACGGAAAGTCACGCGTATCGTTCGTGCGGATGTCGAGGCACGCGACGCGCGTCGTCTTAGTATTCGCAAGACATGACAGATGTGTGAGTGCGTGCTCGTGCGTACATTTGCATTAGTGCGTGTTCGCGTGCATGGACACCGAGAAATTCGGCAGACCAACCTTCGGCCCTGGTCCCCAGAAGTCCTATACGGAGAAGGCAAACAATCCAAGCAAAATCGAAAAAAGACAGACATGTTAGTATTGCGACCTCGGTGCTCCACCTTTCTCTCACTCGCCGGCTATCGTGCACTCAAATCTCTGATCCAAATGACTCGAGAAGAAAAAGAAAATAAAGCTTAGAAGTCAACTTGTTGTCCATTTTTAGATTTTCCATCGATTATAAAGTTGGCTTGAAAGAACGATAGATGCACACGTGAGCGAGGAAAAACGCTGATAAGTTAGCAGAACAGTTGAACGAAATTGTACGCTTGAGAGGCGTACAAAAGTAAATATACAGCGCACTCACGACTTTGTCGAAGACGGGCGCATTGTCGTTGATGTCCTCGATGGTGACCTTGAAGGTGCAGACGTCGTCGAATTGTGGTCGACCATTGTCGGTGGCAAGAACCGTCAAGTAAACCTCCTTCTCGCGAGCAGGTTCGTCGCGGTCGTGAGCGTGAGTCGTCCTTATTAGTCCCGTCTGATTGTCAATGTCGAACTTGAGTTTCTTTCCGTTAGCTGTCACGAAGCTATATGTGATCATTCCTACAATCAACGCACAACGCCAGCTTATCTAGATCGCCTTTATTACTTGTATTTCTATAGTTGCATCTATCTAATTTTTTATTCCTTCTTTTCATCTTCCGTATGAATCCACTTTAGAAATAAAATGTTAAAAGTACTATTTATAATTTTACTTCACAAAAATTTTAATAATCCATTGAATTTTAATCAATAAAAAACTAGATTTAGTAAAGAATAGAGTGAACATCTCAAAATCAAAATTTCACTCAATCAATAATATCGTTGCGCCATCGTAATTCACTTATGTATTTAATCGAACTTATACTAATCAATAATATCGCTGGATCAAATCATTCACTGATATATTTTATTAAAACAGTCTGTATGCATGACTATCACAGAGGTAAAAGGGAAACATATATTTAGGAGTTAAGAAAAAAAAAAAAAGATTATAAGTACATTTGTCTAATGTATAAGTTGGCAATCAGGGAGAGCGACAGCAGCGCCACCATTATATGTGTTCTTTTGGATACGGCATGTATGCTAGGGGCGAGTCGAGCCTATGATCTCGTGTTGGTCGGAGCATTGCCGGTTCTCTCCACGATTGAGTACAAAGAGTGGTCTGTATATATATATATATATATATATATATATATATATATATATATATATGTAAATACATATATCTTTTCTCTGTCATCTACAAGTGTATTCCGCCAACCTCACAATCAATAAAGTTCTTACATCAACCGCATCCGTCTGCCTTTCTTTGGTTCTTTCCGTTTGCGAAGGTAAACCAAATAACCGATTAAATTCTTAAAATATTTGAACAGCTTTACACATTTATTGGTGCAGTAAAACTTGGATGTTGCGAAATTGCGATCGTCCAGAACAATTTGACGAAGGGATCGAGTCTCCAAGTAAATTTTATTAACAATGCGAGGAAAATTGAAAGGTAAAAAAGGAAAAAAATCCGATAAGTGAGGAAGCTGCGCATATACTTTACCTCCCTCCTCGAGGGGATCCCGGTCCTCGGCTTGCACTTGAATAACCGGCGTGCCAGGCAACTCCTCTTCTTTCACAATGGGCGCGTAGTCCGAGCACTTGGCAAAGACCGGCTTGTGATTATGATTATCGCTGTTCCGCTGCTGCAGAAGCTTCTGCAAATAGACGGTAAAAATGAAGCGCACGACGGATGATTTGCTTCTTCTTTCAGTTCGTCTACGACTCGCCGCTACAATTTGCCTCTCTCGAGCTCTATAATGCGGTTAGCTGCTGCCTCGCGCGGACGAAAAAAATGTGTGAGCAGCGCAAAATGAGAATGCTCACTCGGCGTATTGAGGATTCAAGAGAAACTAGCTACGTTTTGATGGCCTGCGACTACCCAAGCGCGGGAACCGTCGTCGTTAATTGTTTGTGGGATAGCTCGCTTACCAGCACTTCCAGGTCCGTCCGTGACGACGTCTTTGAGTCCAAATGCCTCGAGTGTCGCACTTTCGGTACGTCGGCTGCAACGAAAAAATCACGTTATTTTGCACCCGGCAAAGATAACTCGATAACGCGTTTCCCCTCTGAAACCGCGACCACGGCGGTGTGACTCGCATCGATCTAGATCGCGGTTATCAGCTTGTTTTTGCCTCCATTACACTACGGGATCAGCCTCAAACTGGATTAACTTGCCATAACAAGAAGCCAATCAATGACAGTGAATTGCGATTAAAAAGTTCCATTTGCGCTGGAAATTTAATCCGTTTAAAGGCATTCGATCCATAAAAAAGTATACGCAGAGATAATAACGCGAACAAGTCACGTAATCGGTCCTCTCTTGAACGAAGCCTCTGCAACAATCGTAATTACGACCAACTGCGATGCGACTATCCACCGTCCACAGATTCATGTCGTCCTCGCCGTCGCAGGCCGTATCGAGCAATTTCCTAACAAGTATTATCAAAGTGGCGCTAATTTGTCGACTCGGCCTAAATAGCTACCAACTCGTGTATTTATTCACTTATAGCGCCGCCGTTACGTGATCGGCAGCAATGCTGGATTAGCGTAAATAGAACTGGATTTATGAGTGTTTTCGATCGAGGCCGAGAGAAAGATTCATCTGAAATCGGCGATCGACTTGTCAGCCGCAGTGGCACTCGATATGGCGATACCGTTCGCGGAGCTGCAGCTCGTCGATAGCCGCGCTGGACCGTCGAAACAATCAACGTCCGGTAAACCGGCGCGTAATCAACGCTTTATCCTCCGTGCGATTCGACACCCTTGACGCTGCGCTGATTGTCGCGCCGGTGTCTGCTCCTATCGACAAATCTAACCTCGCGGCCATTCCGAATCCGATGTAAAAAGAAAGCCTGCATTTCCGATGCAGCCAGCCGCGTTTAGAGCAAACTCGCGTTTGTAATTAGACTCGGCTTTGGTCCTCTGCATGTATTTGAGAAAAACATTAAGCCTCATTTGCTCTCTGTTCCGATTAACCGCGACGACGAAGAGTTGTCTGTCTTTACCCCTCCCCCTCCTCTCTCCCTCTCTTACTAGCAGTATGAACGCCCGATGACAGGCCTTCGCTCGCGCGCCGTGGGCTGGATAATTACAGAGCCGCTGGCCTTGTCCTTTGTCGAGTTGATCTGTGCGAAGGAGAGAGGAAAAAGAGCCTCTCAAATGCGCCAACCAGTGTTAATTGGGCTAGCTCTCGTCGTGCGCCTGCACACTGGAAGGAAACTAGCAAAAAATGGGCCAATACAATTTACATACGGTTGAAAAAAAAAGAAAAGAAAACATCGTCGTGACTCGTATCCCAGCGGTCAGTCCCGTGATACAGCGAACATTTATATAATTCAAGAGTTGAGGAGCGCCGGATAAGTTTCCCTGTCATTCCAGCTATCCATATTCAAGTAGCAGCAAAAGATGCATCAATAATAACCGCGCGTTTAATAATTGACTGGCCGACAGCTGTATGTTGCCAGGTGTGTTCCTTTCACACAGATATACCCCACGAGAGAGAAAGAGCCACGCAATCAATAATTCACGGGCCCGATTGAAAGATCACAAGAGGGCCGCGGGAACGTATCTAACAATGCGAACGGGGAGGGGCTAATTCGATTGTGCGTCCCCGTGCGTGAGAGCAAGAGCGAAAGGGAAGGGAACGCAGCAATGTTAATCAAACACGTATGTGCAGTAGTGCTGAGGCAGCTACACGTAAGTATCAATGTACGGCGAGTGGCCCGATCGAACGAACAATTTGGCTGCTGCGCCCAGGCAGCGCACGTGCCGCTTATATTCTGTGCCGTACGTTTTCGACAACGGTGCCGAACACCTAGCTAGCATACGGTGGCGGAAGGGGTGGAGAGCAGTGCAAGCCTATGCAAAGGAAGTCAACTGGGAGCTACAATCGTGCAAGTCGCACCACGCGTACATGCATGCTCGTTGGGCGCAGACTGTGTGAGGAGAAAACCACGCGCGTGACTGTAGACAGTCGCTGTGCGACACTTGGCTAACTGAACTTTCTTTTGCGCCTGCAGAATCGCTTTGCTTTCTCTCTCTCTCTCTCTCTCTCTCTCTCTCTCTCTCTCTCTCTCTCTCTCTCTGGTGATGTGTAGTCCAAGGGGCAGCTAGGCTTGAGATAGTTAGTGCATAATTTGCCCTGGAATTACACATTACCTCAATCTACAGTCGTCACATAACCTGTTCCATCTCAATCTGAATGTACGTGAGACTTCAGCAGCCACTGGTATCATCTGGCATCATTTCGCACCACATAGATTATTCCTGCACCTCGGATTCCTGCAACATCGGCTACTAAAGAACACATTGTCATCGCCTACGCACCGCTTTAGTGAGAGAGAAACATCAAAAATTTAATTTAATAATTATCGCTCCGTTATCCGGCTGTGCCCTTCATCAATTTCTCCTGTATCCGTCATCGTTGCCTCTTCGATTGAGTGATTTGTTTGTTTCTGTTAGCCATCTGCCAATTTATTGTTAAGCGACCTATTTTAAGTACTCATAATTCCGAGCGCCTTTTATGTTCAGTTCCTCCGCTAATTAATATTCCCGCTAAATTTTCCAATTTTCCCGCGAAATTCAAAATATCTTGCATTTCATGTAACTGCGGGTAGGAGTTGCGAAACTCGTTTATTCTTGTTCGCGCCAAATTTTCTATGTATCACATTAATACTATCTTGACCATTTCGACTACGTTAATTCGCTCTTTCCTCTCCAGTTTATTTACTTGTTGAGTTTAACGTAGTTCGACTCCCTCTTAATCCTCTAATCCTTAAGCCTGTAATCCCTTACGTTTTCTTAATGTCAATTAGAGACTGCGCTAAGTGTTATCTTCCATTACGATGACTCGACAGATCTCTTTTGTGCGGCTCCTGCAATTCACTTTACCACCTTAACTGTATATCCCCAAACTCTAGGCCGATATCTAAAACTACTGAATTTATATGTTGTGCTGACTCGTCACCTTCCAACCAATTACCGATCGCCAATACAGCTGCGTTATTCGCCACGCCTACCGGACACTCTCCATCGATACTCGTCCGGGCCAAGAAACGCCTAGCCTCGCCTACTCAGCCGTTATTGTCGTCGGTAACAAAACACCTCTGTACTGCGCCTCTTCATTCGTCACCTGAGTCCTCCGTTCCTGCAACCAACGTTTTCGCTGCGAATCAGTACCATCTTCAATCGTCGTCGCACTCAATCTCACATCTAGGCGTAGATCGCTCCACTACCATGGCGGATGCACCTGAGTGGTTCAAACAAGAGGCCCAACTAAATGCCAGCAGACACCAAGAGATGCGTGATTTGTGGTCTCAATTGCGCATGGAGCACCAGGTCAGGGACGCTCACTTTGCAGTAACAGATGAGCCGGAACTTCTCGTCCACGGTCTGCCCTCTGACTATAAAGGCACACTCTTCCAAGCAGCAACTTCACTGCTTGTTGCGCTCGGTTTTGGCGGGATGCACAATTTGCCGCAAATCATACATACGCGTGATTGGAGCCATTCTTCTGCCACTTCCCAAAGCTCTTTATCACTTCCCGGCGCTGCTCGTCGGTCTACTCGCTCATTCGCTTTTCTTGTGGACTCTCCATCAATCAGGGACAGGATTCTGCGTTTCTCGCCGAAGTTAAATGAGCACACCGCCCAGTCCATCTTTGGTACCGGTGGACCGACGAGAGTCTACGTTCGTCCAATATGGCCGAAGCCGGTTTTCGAACTTCTCACAAAGGCGAGAAAGGTTAGTGCTGAGCTTGGTTATGCCTGGCCAGTGGTCCGTAATCTGAGAGTGTTCTGCAGGCAGACTCAGCGCTCCGAGCTGATCCCCATTATAACTGAGGCTGACTTACGCGGGCTTGTGCCGCTCCAACGCGTGACACCGTCTGCCGTGAGGCCACCCACGCAGCATCCTCATACTCACAGACGATTGTCCCCCTTACCCTCTTCGCCCCATCAAATCAATACCAACCAAATCTGACATACACTGAAATCCAACAACTTAGATGAGTCAAACTTATCTTTCACTGCTGCACACGTCAATATTAACGGATTAAATGTACCCTCTCATTTCTCTCTCCTTGAGGCTGAAGTCCAGACTGTCCCTTATGACTTAATAGCTATTTCCGAAACCAAACTCAGCGAATTTGTATCAGATGCTCACCTTGCTCTTCCGGATTACAATTTTGTACGACATGATCGTGTGGGCAAGGAGGGTGGAGGTGTTGGTTTTTATGCGCGGAACCCATTGATGGTCAAAATACTAGCCGAGTCAGATCCCGTTTACGATAATACTCCCGAATTTATAATTGCCGACATTCAACAGAATCGACGTAACAGGTTACTTTTTGCCGTAGTTTATCGTCGTCCCTCAGCCTCCATCCCCACTTTCTTCTTTGACTCCATCTCTACTTTTCTTCCTTATTACAACGATATCCTAATCACAGGTGATTTCAACTGTGATCTCACCTCTGATCTTCCACATGTTCGTGCTTTTCGTGATCACCTGGACTCTCTTGCCTTAAGGGTTGTTTCTACTGCACCTACACATCATCCTATCTCAACCACTGGGGAAATCACACACACAACCCTTGATTTATTTATCACCAACTACTCAACTAACATCTTACAGTTTGCTCAATCTAATTCACCCTTTGTTCCTTATCATGACTTAATCGCTGTCTCAATCTCAGCTACATACATAAAAAATACCATGAAAACTTTTTCCTTCCGTCCTCTCCAACACATTGATCCCTCAGCCCTTAATTTGATAATTGACACTAATCTCTCAGTTTTCTTCTCCGGACCTTCACCGGACCTCTCACACTCACTTGATCAGCTTGAATCTGTCTTTACTCTTAATGTACTTGCTGCTTTTGATCAGCTTGCCCCACCTCGCAAGATCACTATCCCATCCATGAAAAAGCCCTGGGTCTCTGGGGAGCTACGATCCAGGATGCGCACACGTGATCATCTTTTCCTTCGCTACAAAAAGACAGGTTCTATTGAAGTACTTTCCCAATACCGGTTACTTCGTAACCAAATCTCAAATTCCCTAGACACTGCAAAGAATTCCTTCATTCATGACACTATCCACAATGCAAAGTCTATCACACACAAATGGGGAGCCCTCCGGGACATGGGGGTAGCTTCCAATCCTCTTCCTTCCCCACTACTCCTCTTTTCCCCTGACATTCTAAACGTTTACTACGTTTCAGTTGCCTCTCGTCACCCTGCTTTAACTAAACAAGCTTTCGATGACATAATTAATGCTCCTATATTCGAACCGATTCCCGCTCATTTTCCACAATCCTTCACCTTCTCTACTGTCTCCCAGCGTGAAGTTGAGTTTGAGGTCCTTGCCCTTCGCTCCAAAGGCAAAGGAAACGATGGC